GAGCGCCACCGCACTCCCAAGCGGCGCACTGTAGCAGTGCGCCACCAGGCCGGCCCCAACATGCCTATCTTTTTACATATATTTTTGACCATTAATATATCTAGTGAACAAGGGGCCGGCCCAGTGGCGCACTGCTACAGTGCGCCGCTTGGGAAGTGCAGCGGCGCTCCTGCCGAGGGTTCGGATCCCACATACAGACCGGTTCCCGCTCACAGGCTGAGCGAGGTGTGGGCGCAGCACCGAGGGTTGCGATCCCGTTGCCGGTCCCGGTTCCGGTACAGGCGTGACACTGAGGGTTGCGATCCATTGCCGGACACGAAAAAACACACACACACAAAAAAAAGGGAAAAAAAAATATATATCTAGTGAACAAAATGGTTGTTTTTTCAGTTTTTGTTTATTTGGAGAAATTGGATCTATGTTTTTGCCAGCTATCGGTCCTTTCTATACTCTACCTTTTTTGCTTATTTTTCTAAGTTTCAGAATTTACAAACCTACCCCTTTGTCTAGCTGTATCCCACAAGCGATTATATTGTTATTTTGCTTTCCTTTCCTTTTCTTTCTAAAAATAGAAGGAAACTGTCTTTTGACTAGAGGGTAGATTTGTAAACCTAGCAGGTAAGAAAATTAATTAATAATCTGGAAATCAGAGCAGAACACCAGTGCTCCTCAGGGATTCCTACTCTTTTGTCCTGCAGCCCCTCATCCAGCTTCTGACATTGTTCTGGCTTCTTTTGAGCCCTTGGGTGGAATCACTTGTCTTTCTTAGATTTAATTTATTCATTTAAGAAACTGTAATAATGAGAAGGAATTTCATTTTCCTCCAAAGAGGGTCTTTAGCACTAAAACAACATTTTTTACCTTTAGGTGTTAAAGATTTCAGTCTGTGTCAGGAGGGGAGGAGGATAATACCACAAAGCATTTGATGTAATAAGACCTAACTTTTGGTGAAAGTAGTTGGGGTAGGGGAAAGAAAGTGAAAGAAAGGCAAGGATTTTAATATTAAATGCAATATTTTATTTTATTTGTAGAATGCTGAATAGCTTGTAATCATTCAACATGCCCTTATCTATTTAATTTTGTCTCTCTCCTACAACACTCCTATGAAGTATGTAGATTCTGAACTATTGAGTTCTGATAGTCTTGGGTGTACAGATATGGAGACCGAGTACCCAATACTGTATGTATCACTTTGTGTTTTTAGGCAACACACCATGATAAAAAAACAAGGCTGGTTTTATACCCTGGCTTTGATGCTTATGCCAATTGGCTGTGTAACTTTGGGTGAGACCCCTCCCTTCTGCAAACATCAGTTTCCTTAAGTAAAGTGGAAATAATTCTTATACTGGAGGGTTGTTTTAAGGATCGAGCACCTGACGCACAGTGAATGCTCAATACATACTTGTACGTATTAGCCCTCTCTTTTCTTCCTCTTCACTTAGGGCAGAAGGATGGTTTTCTTAGAATTAGCTTACAACTTATGAAGAGGAAAACCTATTAAGAAAAAAAAAAAGCCAGTTTTCTTTAGTGTGTCTTTCAGACAGATATACTCATGATAAACTAAATTGTTCTTCATACCTTGCCCTAGGTTCGATCACCTGATGATATGTTGTTTGAAAGATACCTGCTTGCTTTGCTGGCAGCCAGTTATCAGTAGCGATCCATGATCTAGGAATATTACCTTTGCCAAACACAGTGCTGAGGGATAGAGTACTTGCCAGAGGCCCTATGTCCCAGAGCTTCGAGTGAACTATAAAGCTACATTTTAGGTTGGAATTTATAAGTCCACTTAGAACTTTAAAGATTTAGTTTTGAAGGGGAAAAGGAGCATGCTAGACAACATCATTACTTGTATTCTTAAGTCCAGGGGAGTAATGATTTTCTTGACATTTTGATAACAGGGCTTTGATTTTTATGCTTGATCATTACGATAGTAGGTGATGATAATGGTGGGAACTAAATGTTTACTTTGCTTAGAACTGAACTAATCCCATAGGAAAGTGGGGTGAGGATAGAGATTCCTTAATGTGGAATACTAAGTAAGAATCAAACTGATCACTTTATTTTTAAGTTTGGAAACATCAGGCAATTGCCACCCCCCAGCTGAGGATTGGCGAAGGGGTACTTAGAAGTCTCGAAAGGAGATAAAGCTCCATGGAGCTGTCAGTGGGATTTATGGCATGCTGAGAAAACTCTGGGCTGTGGGCAAGGCTTTCCATTCATAGCAGGCTTCATTCACAGAAAATATTAGGTCACACAAAAGCTCACTACCTCCTGCTGACCTTTACAGACAGAGGTTGGCTGGACCGCACAAAAACAGAATAAATTCCAGAAAGCCAGGGCACCTGATAACCTGTGACCTCAGGATATGCATTTAAGGCTCTGAAAAGAAAAAGGAGGGAGTTGTGAATTTTGGAAGTTCATTCTGGATATTAAACTGTACATGACAATTTGTGATGTCATTTGGCAAATGCAACTGTGACTATTTTAGTTCAAACTCCCCTCCCTCCATGTAACTCTAAATCCTTGAACTTCTCAAAATAGATAGGATGTGATTTCTTCCTTCTGTAAAGTAGATGATCAAGGTGTTGAAACTTTTTTTGCCCTAGGTTCCATAGTAAGTTGGTCTCAGAAATGGAAATAGAATCCAGTTTAATTTTTAGCACCTTAATCATTAGCATTCTGAGTTTCAAGCAGAAAAATATCATACGTATAAAAGTGAAATTATTTTGTTTGAAACATGTGGTCAGCAAAGTTCCTAATGTACAGTTGATTTCTGAATCTATCTCCTGGGAGACTTTGGAATCCTTAAAGGATAACCAGAATGTCAGAAATAGGGATTTGTGTTAGAGAAAATAGGGATTTGTATTCCGGATTAACGTTGAACCAAGTTGCCAGGAGTACTACTGTATTTCAGGGAATGGAAAACACAACTTCCTGTTTCCTCCAGGAGGGTTCCTGGACTCTATGGGGGGTGATCTAGGAAACCCTGCTGAGACAGGATGACTGAGGGGGATGGGATTTCTGTGTGATAAAACACTGGCTGTTGTTTGTTATTACGACTCCCTCAGCATTTTCCTGAGGATGAAGGATACTCATTATAGAAACCTGACCATGTAGCTTCATTCTAATGAGTGGCTTCAAGCAAGGTCAACTCTTGAGGAACTTGTGACTTTTTGGGGGGCACATTTGTTTGTCATGCACATGCTTAGTTCAGAGGCATACTTTTCCATCTTCTATAAGGTCAAAATCATAGTGACAGCACAAATGCTTTAACTGGGTTGGACATAGAAAGAGAAAAATGTTTAACCAGTATGAAGGATACTCTTGAACTTACCACTGAAACAGTCTGAGGCAGTATTATGCTGATAAACTGGCTCTCCAGAACAAAAGTCCTGATTTGTAGTGTCTGCTAATTTCCCTGGTGTAAGTATTCCCACCATGGCTGAATTCACACTACCAACATGATGCAGTTGAACATAGTTAAGAAGGTGTGCACACAGTTGGCTCTTACAGGAGGCACAAGCTGGCTCCAGTGTAGTGCTGGGTAGGCTTTGATCTGTTTGCATAATTAGATGGAAGGTGCGTATGTTGGTATATATATGAATCTGGCAGTGAAGATTTCTGGATTCTTTGCCTAGAAGTGCTACTGCAGATCAGATGATGTGTGAATTTGTCACATTTGCATGTGCCTCTTCTAGTGCTTGCCATCTTTCCTCTTGGGGCCCTTTTAATTTCTCTATTCATCCAGATGCCAACCTCAGGCTACTTCTCTTCCCATTTTACATATTCTTCCTGGAAGAGTGACTCTATTTTAATTGATGTAACTTCCACATATTTCAATCTTAGTCCCTTCTCCCCAACTTTTAGATTCTAACTGCCTGTTGTGTTGTTCCACTGGCATGTCCCCAAGGTACCTCAAGTTTCACATTCTAAAGTGGAATTCAGTCCCTTCGCCCCACAAAAATCTGACTGCCTTTTCTCAGTTTCCTGTCATATGAGTAACACCACTGTCTTTCCAGTCATTCACACTAGAAACCAGGTAAAGGTCCCTGACTCTTTCTTTTCCTTCATCTTTATCCCGTACCTTCAATTAATCACTAAAGTCTTGAAAGTTTTCTTTCTGGTTATTTCTTAAATGTGTCCCTTCCATCTGCCACCTTCCCTATTATCATTGTAGGAGTTAAGGCCCTTACAGTTGTTCACCTGAAGTATCAACAACTTTCCTACTGGTTTCCCAACTTTAAAACTGTCCCCATCCAACCTCCCCTTCACATTGATTTCTGTGACCATGCTTTAAACCCTTTCATTGGTTTCCTATAGGACATGGAGTCTTAGCTCCTTAGCATGCAGCCTAAGTCCTCCATAATCAGGGAGGCTGACTCTCTTGCCAAGCCATTCATTTCCTTTATTGTGTTGCTCCTGCAACCACATGCCACATGTTTTCTCCTTGTAGGGCCATAGCCAACGGCCACATGTTTTCTCCTTGTAGGGCCTTAGCCAACACTCCTATTATAAAATACAGGTTAACAAGAGAAAAGCATAACAAATTTATTTAATCAGAATTTTACATGACATGGGAGCCTTCAGAAATGAAGACCCAAACACTCAGGGAAAACTGTCTGTTTTTATGCTTAGATTCAACGAAGAATGAACAGCCATGCAGAAATGTTGATTGGATGAAAAAGGTATGATCTAATGGGAATAAACTGAGGGGGAGGGGAGAAACCAGCAAGGCCTGTATGTTCAGATTCTTCTTGACCTCTCTGTGTAGCATTCCTTTCCCTGGGGTATGGGGCAAGACTTTGTTGAAACAAGGGTCTTATGACCTACCGTCAGACAAGATAGGTCAGAGAATTTCTTTATGGCCAGCTCCTACACAGAAAGGCAAGGAAAAGTAAGAATTATATTTCTAGGTTTTTATGGCTTGCTTTGGGGGAGAGAGGGGTTCTAGTTTCTACAATGCAGCCTTGGGGAAGGAGGAATTCTGGTTTCTATGACTCACTTCAGTAGACAAAGAGGGGCAGGAGACAGGAGGGCAGGAGAAGGTCAGAGAGAGGCTTCATTTCTGAGGCTGCTTCTGAGGCCTTCCAGTCTCCTATGATTCAAAATGCTCAGCATGCCAAAGCACCATACTTTGGGGTATTGTTTTCTGAGCCCCAATACCCCTCACACTTCTTTCTTCTTAGTGACGTTGTTTCTGTCGGTCTCTCTGCCTGCTGTGCACTCTCCAACTTTGTTAACTGCCATTTATAATTTAAAAGCCAGTGCAGGCACCACCTACTCAGGAAGCCTTTTCTGACACCTCTTCTACACTGGCTCCCTCTTGGTGCTTCCATGATAGCCTGCCTATCTCTCCACCATTTTGCTCATGTGCAATGATAGCTCATGTGCGTTGTAATGGATTTTTATTGCATCTGTTTCCTTTACTAGACTGAACAACTTGGGTGTCAGAACTGTTTGCTGTTTACCTTTATATGTCTAGTACTTTGCAAAATGCCTGGCACATAGTACTGCTTAGTTCATGTATGGCTGAGTAAGTAGATGAATAAATGAAGGAGACATCCATTCTGTACCTTCTATATGCAGCTAGCATAGAGTTGTCAGACTTACCAAATAAAAACACAGGACACACAGTTAAATTTGAAATTCAGATAAATAACAAATAGTTGTTTAGTATGGGTAGATCCCAAATACTGCATGAGACATTCCTATGCCCCCAAAATTATTAAACTATTCATTAATTATCTGAAATTAAAATTTCCTGGGCCGAGCCCGTGGCACACTCGGGAGAGTGCGGCACTGGGAGCGCAGCGACGCTCCCGCCACGGGTTCGGATCCTATATAGGAATGGCCGGTGCGCTCACTGGCTGAGCGCGGTGTGGGCGACACCACACCAAGGGTTGCGATCCCCTTACCGGTCATGAAAAAGACAAAAAAAAAAAAATTCCCTGGGCATCCTGTAATTTTTCTGGCTACTGTAACTAGCAAAAGAGTGAGTTCGCACCCAAAGTAGAAGTTCACACAAAGCAGAAGCTCGGAGTGAGTTTGCACCCAAAGTAGAAGTTCACGCAAAGCAGAAGCTCATGCTGAGCTTGACATCACGGGCCCTAGAGTTTTCTGTAGACGTTGCCCTACATCTCTGAACGTCCCATGTGTAAATAGCTCACTATACTCAGAGGTACTGGCCTTACCATAGTGCTCTGCTGTGTGTCGTCGCATATAGGTTTTCTACTGAGAGACTGGATTTTTTTTCTTTGCGTGGTAAGGAAATTTAATGTATGCCTTTGGGTAATGAGGGGAGATGAGCAGAACTTATTTGTGAGTCAGCACATGGGATTTCCTATGCTATGGTGGTTTGTTGTTGTTTCTGGATAGTGGTCACAGGGCATTTGAAAGGGAGTATAAAATTTACTCTTGGTGTTTTGGGATGAATGCAGGGATAACAATGTGTACCTTCTTAAAGGCTGTAAAACTTTGGATATGGGTTTCAGATTTTCTTAGGGAGTCAGCCACTAGAATAGTCCTCACTATTTACTTTGCTCCTCAGGCCAAAATGCCTGAGAACTGATGTACTGAATTCTGAGCACGTCTTGGAGGAGGACTCCATACCGTCTTCATTCTAACGAGGCTGTTTATTTAGTATGTTCCCCGTTAAAGTATCAGATGACTGAACTATTATTTTGATTGAAGAATTTTCTTTTTTCAAATTAGAAACACCCAAGTTGCTAACAGTTTATGTTTTAGAAGGTGCAAATATATTTCTCCATGAGTGGAAACAGAATTGAAATATGGCATATTTCATCTCTCACCTTCTCTTTCTCCTCTCCCTTCTCATGCCAAAATGGAAATTCCAGCGCTGGGACACTTGGGCAGAATTTTAGATATTTGCCCCATAGGAGTCAGACATGTTTTCTTAGAAAAAGCTGAATTATAATGGGAGAAGGATTGACCAAAAAACAATCATGAAACATTTTTGTGGCCTCAGTATCGTGATCTTGTCAGTAAAGCGATG